AGGTGGGTGTAGCTAGGTGGTGGGGCGGGGCTACACTGGGCAGGGCTATGCTGTGGGTGTGGCTAAACTGGGACAGGGCTATGCTGTGGGGCGGGGCTATGATATGGGTGGGGTTATGATGTGGGTGTGGCTAGGTGGTGGGGCGGGGCTATGCCATGGGCGGGGCTATGTTGTGAGTGGGGTTATGCTGTGGGGCGGGGCTATGATATGAAGTGGGGCTATGAGGTGGGTGTGGCTAGGTGGAGGCGGGGCTATGCCATGGGCGGGGCTACGTTGTGAGTGTGGCTCAACTGTGGGACAGGGCTATGCTGTGGGTGGGGTTTATGATATGGGGTGGGGCTATGATGTGGGTGTGGCTAGGTGGTGTGGTGAGGCTACACTGTGGGTGGAGCTATGCTGTGGGTGTGGCTAAACAGTGGGACCGGGCTATGCTGTGGATGGGGTTATGCTGTGGGGCTGGGCTACGATAGGGGGTGGGGCTATGAGGTGGGTGTGGCTAGGTGGTGGGGCGGGGCTATGCCATGGGCGGGGCTAGGTTGTGAGTGTAGCTAAACTGTGGGACTGAGTGGGGTTATGCTGTGGGGCGGGGCTACGATAGGGGTGGGGCTATGAGGTGGGTGTGGCTAGGTGGTGGGGCGGGGCTACACTGTGGGCAGGGCTATGCTGTGGGTGTGGCTAAACTGGGACAGGGCTATGCTGTGGGGCGGGACTATGATATGGGGTGGGGCTATGAGGTGGGTGTGACTAGGTGGTGGGGCGGGGCTATGCCATGGGCGGGGCTATGTTGTGAGTGGGGTTATGCTATGGGGCGGGGCTATGATGTGGGTGTGGCTAGGTGGTGGGCGGGGCTACACTGTGGGCGGAGCTACATTGTGGGCGTGGCTACGGGCTACACGGTGGGCGGGGCGGAGCCGGGCAGCCGCTCACCTTGAGAGTCTTGTCCTGGCTCTTGGCTGACTCCATGAGCAGGTAGGCCCCTTTGCTGTCACACAGGCGGTCTGCGGAGCCCTGGAGCAGCAGGAAGGGCAAGGTCAGCTTGGGGAGGGCTCGCTCCACCCGCGAGACAGCGTTGAGTAGTTGGATCCCAAAGCACACTTTCAGCCCCGCCCGGCAGATGAGAGGGTCCGAGTTGTAAAGCTCAACCTGGAGGAGGGTGGGGACCAAAAAGAAAAAAAGAAAAGAAAAAGTCACCTTCAGTGCAGGCCGGGGCTCACCCTTGCTAGGCCCAGATCATTTATCATTTTTTTCTTTTTTGGTCTCAGAGACAACCTCTGGGGTGCTTAACCCCTGAGCCCCATCCCCAGCCCTTTTCATGTTTTATTTAGAGACAGGGTCTCACTGACTTGCTAAGTGGCTGAGGCTGGCCTCCACCTGGCGATCCTCCTGCCTCAGCCTCCTGAGCTGCTGGGATGACAGGTGTGCACCACCGCACCCAGCCTCAGCAAGTCCATGCCCTGTATGTGGCCTGAGATGGGACATCTGCCCCACAGAATCTGGGTGACAAGGCTCTAGAAGTGTCTCAATCCCTGATGGGTAGGCGTGAGGCCACCGTCTCCTTTGCTTACTTTCTCCAGGGCAAGCTGGAGATCTGCCCTGTGGTGTGGACACGGTTGGGGCAGAGGGCAGTCCCAGGAGACCCCAGGCCACCACTGGACTGGGACTTAGGCTCTCCACGGCCACACCTCCCTTCTGTCACCACCCCTTGCAGGGCCTGGGCCAGAATTCCAGATCCAGGCCAAGAGGGGACCGGCTGTCCTGTGGTCACCCCTGCCATCCTGGATTCCGTCCCATGCCAGAGACTGAGCATCGCAGAGCCGACCATTGGTGAAAAGCCACCCGAGTCGGATTACCCAGTTCCTGCAGCTGAGCGTGTGACTCCCACCAGCCAAGGCCATGTGTTTGGCAGGCTGTGCCGGGCGGGAGCGGGTCATGGACCTTGGATGCAGTGCATGCAGCCCACCAGGGAGGAGAGCTGTGGGGCCACATTGGAGCCCTGGGCTCAGGATTGCCCAAGTCCTGGTGCCTACAGTGATAGCAACCAGAACACCCTGTGCCCAGCCCGGGGCCAGGACAGTGGGTCAGGATCCTGTTGAGTAATAAAAACAAGAACAGCTTAAAAAAAAAAAAGTCTAGTTACACCCGAGCTCTTGCTAAATGCTCAGCCCTAATGTTTGTCTATATAATATCTAATAACGAATTTAACCTCCGTAACGACCTTGACTGAGGTACAGCTATTATTATTATTGTTGTTGTTGTTGGTATCAGAGATTGAACCCAGGGGTGCTTCGCCCCTGAGTCCCGTCCCCAGCCCCTTTTTCTATTTTATTTAGAGACAGGGTCTCGCTGAGTTGCTTAGGCCCTTTCTAAGTGGCTGAGGCTGGCCTCCAACTGGCAATCCTCCTGCCTCAGCCTCCCTCAGGCTGCAGGGATGACAGGCATGTGCCACCGCACCTGGCTTATTATTCATTTTTTGCACATAAGGAAATTTAGGCAGAGAGAAGTTTAGTAACCCCCCTGTTATGAGTTACCCCAATCCCTGTTTTCTCCTCTAGAACTCTTTGATATTCAGCTGGGTACACAACTCCCCCAATGGAAGACTACATTTCCCAGCATCCCTTGCAGCAGGGCAAGGTCACATGACCATGTTCCAACCAATAGGAGAAGAGCAGGGGAGCTGCTGGTACCCTCTGGGTCCAAAGCTGGCCTTTCCTGTAGGTCCTTTAGGGAGGGAGTTGGGCCGTGTGGACCCAGGCTGGGGACACACTGGGACGTGTTGAGCTACAGGACGGGTCCCCCTGGTGCTCAGAAGTCACCTGCCAGAGAACTAAGCCCTTTCCCATTCAAGGCACTGCAGTGTGGGGCCCCAGGCCCAGCAGGGTGGCCATGCCCTGGCCAGCTGCCCCCTCCCATCTTGCTGTGTCCACATCCGGGCTCCTCCAGGGCCCTTGGGGGCTCCCCCCCCCCTGCTGTGACTCTCGGCCATAGGTCGGGTGTCCTGTGTCCATTTCCTGAAACTGGCCTGAGACTCTGCCCTGCTTGGAGCCCCCTCAGCGCACGGGCCCCTTGGGGACTCTGCTCCAGGGTTGAGTGGCTTCCTGCCCTTGGCTTCCTTTCCCATGTCACATCACGTAGACCCTGTTTACACGGGCTGTTCTGGGCCTGGGGAAGGAGCTGCCAGATGTGTGGGGGAGAGGGCAGGCCCGAGAAGGAGGGGAAAGGCCAGGGCCCAGGCCCTCCCTCCCAGACAGTGGCCGTGCCAGCCCCATCCCGGCAGCCCTTGAGCATTTAAAACCAAAATCCACCTGAGGCCAGGTGCCCTGGCGCACGCCTGTAATCCTGGCAGCTCGGGAGGCCGAGGCAGGAGGATCGCAAGGTGGAGGCCGGCCTCAGCCACTTAGGCACCAAGCAGCTCAGCGAGACCCTGTCTCTAAATGAAACCCAAAATAGGGCTGGGGACGGGGCTGCGTGGCCCACGGCCTCTGGGTTCAGTCCCCAGGACCACCACACACGCCCCTGCCCCCCACAAAAGAAAGGCAAGATCAGAAAAGGTCATAGAGAGACACAAAGAGGCAGAGCTGGGTCCCTCTGAGTCACAGATGTCAAGGGACTTGACTGGCAGGAACAAAAGGGCCCCTCATCGGGCGTCCCCAGCCCTCCTGGGACTTTGCTGACTGGGTGCCCACCCACAGGGTGGCAGGGGCGAGATAAAGACTTGGCCCGACTCTGCAGAAACGCCCAGGGCCCCGTGTTGACATCTCGCTGTCCCCCGCGGCCAGCTGCAGTGGACGCCCAGGCGCAGGGGTGGAAATTCCTGAGTCACACCAGAAGGGCTGAGGAACAGGGGGTCACCTTCCCATCTGGCGACGGTCTCCTTCCGGATAGGAGAGGGTGTCCTGGGGTGGGCCTCTACCCCCGAGTGCCATGTGACACTGACTGGGCACTCTTGCCTCCACGTGACTTGGTGTTATCCCAAGTTGGGGGCTCTGGGACACCCTGGGGGACAGGCTGTTTGCATAAACCCACCGCAAGTTCTGGGGACCCCTTCTAGAAGGCGCTTCCAAAACAGGAAATCAAAATGAATCATCTGAGAACTTGATTCTATAGACAGTCTATCAAAGCGCCACAAGGTACCCCAAGACAGGTACAATTTGGGGGGGGGTCTTAGGAATAGAACCCAGAATTACTGTACCCCTGAGCTCCATCCCCAGCCTTTTAAATTTTTATTTATTTATTTATTTTGGAAACAGGATTTTGCTAACTTGTTGAGGCCGGCCTCCCATTTGTGATCCTCCTGTCTCAGCCTCCTGAGCGGGTGGGAGTCCTGAGATCAAACGGTGGGTGAGGATGGTGGGGACTGGAGCAAGAACCGAGCCCAAGAGGGTGACAAAGAAGCACGGTCCCTTGTCCTAACTGTGACAGTGGGTCTGGCCTTACGTGTGTGTCCCTGCCCAGTCTCCCTCCTGATGTCACAGAGGCTGACGTATTGGGAGTATTCAGGGTCCTGGTGCCGGCTGCTTACTTTTATGCTTAATTAAAGTAACTAATTAATTAATCTTTGGTGACCAGGATGAAACCCAGGGGTGCTCTACCACCGAGCTTCATCTCCAGCCCCTTTTATGAGCTCTTCAAAAATGGCTTAAAAGTTGCTTAGCGCCCAAGTTGCCGAGGCTGGCCTCGAACTCGCGATCCTCCTGCCTCGGCCTCCCAAATTGCTGGGATTACAGGCGGGCACCACCACCACCACCAGCACACACCCAGCTTCAAAGGACATCCCAGCAGCTGGGGAGGCTGAGGCAGGAGGATCGCCGGTGGGAGGCCAGCCTCAGCCACTGAGCAAGGCCCTGTCTCAAAAAATAATAATAATATAAAATGGGGTGGGGACGGCCAGGGCCACGTGCGCTCAAAATGGGGGTCTCCCTCTTCCTGTTTCTATCCAGGGCCAGGGAGGGGGGACAGAGACTGGGGCAGTTCATTCCATTTGACATGGGGCGGCGACCAAGGATTTGAAGGTGTCCCAGGCCAGAGAACTATCTGGAATGGCATTCGAGGATTTTCAGGGTGGGAGGAAAATTTGCTACAGCGTGAAAGACCCCATTGTTAGCAGCGGAATGATTAAGATGTTAGGAGCCTTATTTTTTATTATATTATTTTTTTAAATTTTTGGTGCCAGGGACTGAACCCAGGGGCACTTGACCCCGGAGCCCTGTCCCCAGCCCTTTTTTTCGTATTTTATTTAGACACAGGGCCTCGCTGAGTGGCTGAGGGCTTTGCTAAATGGTTGAGGCTGGCCTCCAAACTCACGATCCTCCTGCCTCAGCCTCCCAATCCCCTGGGATGTCTGTTGTCTTTAATTTCTGATTAGGGACCCTAGAACAAGGGCCGGAGCAGTGACCTCTTGTTTCCCAGAGCTGCCCAAGAGCATTGGGCCCCGAGGAGACAGACCCAGGCTCCTATCCTTACTTAGTCGCTGTGTGTTTTGGGGGAGGGTGACTTGCCCTCTCTGGGCCCGAGCTTCCACATCTGCAAAGAAGGATCCAAAGGCTGACTTTGGCAGGTTCTGAGGGGACCCCGAAGGCTACGGTGTCTTGCATGGAAGAAGAAGGATGCCATCGATTGTCCCCTGGGTGGTGTTGGGACAATGAGAAGGTATACCCGCCTCCCACAGTGACAGGCAGCCAGGGGCTCCTTGGAGCAGGAGGAACAAACACACCAGCAGGAAAAGAGGCATCCAGGAGCAGGCCTGTCCATCCAGTGAGCTCAAATCTCCGCCCTTGCCCCCTGGCCGGCTGTGCCACCTTTGATAGGTGACTTGACCTCTCTGGGCCTCCATTTTTCTCCTCTGTGAAATGGGGGTAAGGCAGCTCCCCTGCCTGTCGGGATCCAATCAGACTCCACATTGGGCTTCCCTCTTTCTGGAACTTGAGGTTGTGCCTTTTGCCACGGGGAGATTCTGCTTTTCAGAACGATTTTTTTTTCCCCTTTGTTCAAATGGTCATTCAGAAAGGTCCCAGGTCTGCGGCCGCTCGAGGCTGGCCTCTGGTGAGGGGGACTGGCCCCGGGTGCCATGCTGCTGAGGCTGGCCTCCAACTTGCGATCCTCCCCCCCCTATGCCCCACTCCTTTTCCTGGACACAATAACGGGCTCTTGGACAAACCAGTCACCCCAGGGACTCGGGAGGCTGAGGCAGGAGGATGGCGATTTCCAGGCCAAGCCTCAGCCATTTAGCAAGGCCCCAAGCATCTTAGAGAGACCCTGTCTGCAATTAAAAACTAATTTTCTCCAAGGGCTGGGGATGTGGCTCTGGTGGTAAAGTACCCCTGGGCTAGATCCCCAATTTAAAAAAAAAAAAATTTCCCTGAGACTTTTGTTGAGAAAAGAGTCACTGGTTTTTGACGGAGGTTGCTTGGGGACAATTGCCCGTGGCCACCTTTCCTTCCCATTTAGGAAAAGCCTTTCTGGGAATGAAGCCAGACCAGGGTGGGATGAGAGTTGGGGAGAACCAGGGTGGGGTGAATAGGATTTTTGGATCTCCTGGATACAGCCATGCCTGAAGCCCTTAGTTCTCTTTTCCAATCAATCCTTCCTTTGGCTTCAGTGACAGGGCAGCAGAATGCCAAGGACGGACCCAAACCTGGATTTCTCCGGGGTGAGGGGGTTGCTGCCTTCACCTCCACACCGACCCCAAGTTACCCCCCTGCCCCCCCAGATTTTCCGGAAGACTCTCACCTCTGTCTTGTTCCGGGAGAGGACGCTGGAATCGATGGGCCCCAGGGACATGTTTGGCAGGACAAGGTTGAGCACTTTCGCAGCGAGGACCTGGGCAGGGAGGCGAGAGGTGAGTCCCATGTGGCATGGACGCCCCCCTCTTCCTGAGGGACAGGCTACAAGTCCCCTTAAGGACCGCGAGACCCCAAATTGCACGTCAGCCTCCGCGGACCTCCAGGGTCTCCACCCTGGACTCTGTGGGGTGGCTTTTCCCACAAGTGGCTCGTTGGCTGCGACCTTGAATGATTTGCCAGGGACTGAGCTGCACCCCAGTCCCTTTTTTTCGGGGGAGGGGGGTCCATTCTTGGTGACACTTGGGGAAGGGGAGGGGCTGTTTCAAAAGTGAGGTGCCAAATGCTGGGAGTTAGAGTCCCAGGGAAGGTGGGAGCCACGGGCAGCGCTGGGGACGCAGCAGGGCGCAGGGCCGCGGCGGCGGGCAGTGCGCATGTGCGTCCTGGAACCGGCTTGCCCGGGCCTGTCGCCTGTCCTAGCAGGTGCCCTAACCTCCCGTCAGACTCAGGTGGCCTCCCCCTGCCACCGAGGATGCTGAACCTCCCTGCACCCCCACGGTGCGGCGGCGCAGGCCTGTCATCCCAGGGGCTTGGGAGGCTGAGGCAGGAGGATCCCAAGTCGGAGGCCAGCCTCAGCAAAAGCCAGGCGCTCAGCCACTCAGCGAGACCCTGTCTCTAAATGAAATACAAAATTTCAAAAGGTAGAAGATCTAAAAATGAAGCAAACAAAACAGCAGGTCATTGCAGAGAGCCAACAGACCCCCTGTGACCTTTATTAGACTCCGACTGCATACAGGTGGACCTTCTAGGGAACTGTGTGTCTTCTGGGGCCACATTATTGGGAGAGAATTGGGGGTCTGTTTTTTTTCCAGCACTGGACTCAGGAAGGCCACAGGAGATGGGGGTGACCGAGAGCCAGACACTGACCCCTGCCTGTCTGGCCAATGTGGCTGCCCACTTCCTTCCTGTCCCCAGATGAGGTGGGCCATGAGCCAGGAGAAGGCCGAGCGCAGGACTGGCCGCCTCAGCCCTGACCCCGCGACAGAGGAGGAGCAGAGAGAGACCGGGCAGCGCCTGCTCCGTTTTGTCGGTCCCACCACCAGAGCCCTCGTTGGCCAGCCCGTCCCGATTTTGAAGCCCGTCACCTGATTTTTTTGCAAGGACCCGGGCCCGGGAATCCTGGTCCATCATGACGATTTGGTCATTTGCAAAAGCGACACACTTACCTTCACCCTTGAACCTAGGTCCCTGCGGGGGGCACTACTGAAGCCAAGATGTCTACACCCCAAAGTGCCAAGACCTCACAATGCGGGCTCCCATGGAAGGGATGGCAGTCTAGACAGTTGGTTTTTAAGAAAACGAGTTCTTGCCGGGTGTGGAGACGCACACCTGTCATCCCAGAGGCTCAGGAGGCTGAGGCAGGAGGATCGCAAGGTGGAGGCCAGCCTCAGCCACTGAGCGAGGCCCCGAGCCACTCGGCGAGACCCTGTCTCTCAATGAAATAGAAAAAGGGGCTGGGGACGGGGCTCAGGGGTGAAGCACCCCTGGGTTCCATCCCTGGGGGTACCCAAAAATAAAACCCCAAGCCAGAGTGGAGAGCAGGGAAGGGTGTGGAGGCCAGGAGTTGAGGACGGCGGCACCTCCACCCAGAGAGCGCACCGTGGAGGTCGACCAGATGGCCACTGCTCACTTCCCTCCTTGGGGAAAAAAAATCTCCCAGAGCGTCCACCCCTGACCACGAGAGCCCCATCACCGCTTCCCGAGAGAAGGTTCCGGAAGCCTGATCGGGGTCTTGCTCACCCATAAGGAAAGTGGGATCCAAACCATTACCAATCTCGATGTGTTTTCCACCAAGTCTGGGAATATCTTCGGGTGATCCTGTGGGGGGCGGAGAGCGCTTGGGCCCAGCCCGGGAGGGGAGGTTCCCCACCGTCCCCCGGACCCCAACGAGGAGGCCTCTGACCCTCGGTCTCCTCCTCTATACCATGGGGCTCATCCAATCAGCCTCGAGTGAGCGCTGGGCCTCCTGCCCACGGCGCTCTCCGACTCCCTGAGAAGAACAGCTCAGACACGTTCCTTGTTGGTC